TGTAGTGTCCCATTTGCATATTGCCATGACAATGTGATACGAGGACTGACTTTTTCAGAAAAGCATGAGAGGAGAATTTGTTCTCCTTGCACAACACTATCAGATGATGACCGACATAAAGGATACATAGATGCTGGTATCTCAAGGACAGTGATTGTAGCCACATCTGACCGGGCTATTACCTGACCTGACGTTCCATTTTTCGTCACATAGCAAGAATATTCACCAGAATCGCTTCTGATGATATCTTCAATTTTAAGATTACTCAACATCAACGACTTAGTTATCACATAGTGTATAGAAAATCGACCTCGAATAAAACGATCCGTCTCGGGATTAATAATTTCGCCAAATTTCTGCCATGATATTGTACCAGTTGTGGGTAACGTACCCGTGTAGCTGGCGACACATGAAAGTTTAGTGCTCTGTCCTTCAACAATTTTGGTGTTGCTTGGCGATTCAACGAACACGAGATTTGCCGGAGAAACAAAAGTAATTTGCAAAAGAATTGCATACACGTTGAGGGAGATCATCTCTGCTAAAGTATATGACATTACATCAAATAAATGAAATTCTACTGTTTGTGACTATAAAGATTCTGCTGTACCAGTAAAATTGAAATTAGTCCACCAGAAATACGGATTTGAAGCACCAAAGTTGGACATAATTGCAACAAAACGTTTTTTTTTTTATGAATATATATAGTTAAATTTTATATCTACAACATACAAAAAGTTTACCAAAATATACCCACGGGAAAGGTGATTTTTATAGCAAAGAAAACCGAACTATTTCACTGGGCTTATACGCCGTGCCTAGGATGTGTGTGCTGTGCCTTGGTTACGAAGCGCTTTAATTTGATTTGCCGCTGACGCTTTTGATTGGTTAACATACCTTCAACAGTCGGCGCGTACTCATTTACGCAACACACGTACGTACGTACGTACGCAAGTATGCAAGTTCGTACGTACGTCACGTCTCAGAATGTAAACACGGAAATTGTTAGATATTATAACCTCT